CTGGCGAGTGCATGTGCCCTATAGCAAAAATTTCTCCAAAAAAAAAAAAAAAGGCAAGAAGCATGTACCAGCAGCCGTCATGGGGCTGACACAGGGCGGGCTGGGTGGCGACAGCCTGATGGTGGGCCCTAGCTAGCATTCCCAGGGAGCCCCTGGCCAGCCCTCGAGCCCAGTGGCCATCCCTGGCAGCTCACTGCAGGTGGGAACGCCCCGTCTCCTGCCTCCTCCCAGGAGCCCTGGGTGAGTCTCTGGACCCGTTTCCTACTCTGTAAATGGGGAATTAACAGTAACGTGACTGCTAAGTGTCCATCTTGCACCCAGAGCACCTTGGCCTGTTTCCCTTCGCAGTGTAGACACTGAGGTTAAAGCGAGCCAGGTCACTCACAGCCCAAGTCAACCAGACACCACGTCCCAGCTTCATGGGTCCCAGAGAGCCTGAGCCTGACCCTGCGCTGAGCTAATGGGCCCAGTGATTAATGCTGTTTGAGCAGAGGTTGAGCTGGGCTCTACCAATCACCTTGACTCCTGGGAAGGCTGGGGCTGGGAACAGGAGGTGAGGGTGGGGCGCGGTGTCACACTGACCTCTCAGCAGGGCTGATGACCACAGCTGCACTGACATGTCTGGGATCTTGCTGGCCAGCTGCATCGCGGGCACCACCATATTGTTACTCTCCTGTGGACCAAGAACAGTGATGAGGGGACTGAGGGACGGTGGCAGGGATGGCCTGGGCCCTACCTGCTGGACCTAGCCTAGGCTGTGTTGCCTGGCGGACTCCGAGGCCTGCCGCGGAGCCCGTATGAAACGGCTCTCTCTGTAGTAATCTTTGCCCACCGTGGGGAGGACAAAGTACCCTCACTGCTGGCTCCATGTACACCTCCTCCCTGAGCATGGTCAGTGTCTTTCCAAGTGGAGAAGGCACTGAAAGAGATCAGCTCTGGATCCTAAATGGGAATTGATTAGAAATATGGATTTGGGGGGCCGGCAGGTGGCGTAGTAGTTAAGGCTCTGGATGCCGACATGGTCGACTGTGGTTTGAGTCTCAACCCAGCGGCTTGAAACTCACGCCGGGTGTGTGCGTGCGTGTCCAAAATCCTGAGGGGAGAATGGAGAAGGGATTGGGGGCATGGTTATCCTCCTGGGGGTGATTTTTTCATTTCTTGTCTGTCTGGGAAGTATATGTGCCCTATAGCAAAAAATCTTTAAAAAAATAAAAAAGTGGATTTGGATTTGGGGCCGGCAGGTGGCATGGTGGTTAAGGTGCTGGACTCCCACATGGCTGACCGTGGTTCTGAGTGCTGGACCTGAAAGCTTGCTTTCCTGTTTTCCCTCTCTCTCTAGTGGGTGCATGTGCCTTATAGAAAATTAAAAAATAAGAAAAATAATAATTTTTAAAAACTTATAGTTCTGGGACCAGCAGATAGCGTAATGGCTATGTTGCTAGACTCCCACATAGTCGACTGCAGTTCAAGTCCCGGACCCGGTGGCTTAAACTCACGCCAGGAGTGTGTGCGTGTGTGCCCAAGATCCCGAGAGGAGAATGGAGGAGAAGGGATTGCGGCGTGGCCATCCCCCCTAGGGGGTGATTTCTCACTTTCTGTCTCTCTGTCTCTGTCTTTCTAGCAAGCACATGTGCTCTACAGGAAAAACCTCTCCAAAAAAACAAAAAAGAGAAAAAAAAGAGGTTTCTGTTTTAGGGGTATGTATGCTTGCTGGATAGAGAGAGACAGAGACAAGGAAAGGGAAAGTGAGAAATAACTCCCCCCCCCCCCCACCCCCGCCAGGAGATGGCCATGCCACAATCCCTTCTCCTCTTGGGATCTTGTGCACACACATACATGTGCCTGACTTAAGTTTCAAGCCATTGGGTCTGGGACGCAAACTGTAGCTGACTGCATGGGACTTTGGTGACATAACCGCTACACCATCTGCTGCCCACCCCGACTAAATAATTCTTAAAAAAAAATAAAATAAAATAAATGTGGATTTAGGGTCAGCCAGGTGGCATGATGGTTAAGGCTGCTGGATCCCACACAGTAGACTATGGTTTGAGTCCTAGACCTGGCAGTTTGAAAACAATGCCAGGCACGTATGTGTATGTGTCCCCAAAATCCTGAGGGGAGAGTGGAGAAGGGACTGCAGTGTGGTCATCTGTCCTAGGTGGGGTGGGAGCGGGATCTCTCACTTCCTGTCTGTCTCTCTTGGGTAAGTGCTAATGCCCTATAGGAAAAAAAGAAAGAAAGAGAGAAAGAAAAGAGAAATGTGGATTGGGTGAGTAGTACCCGGGTCTGGGAGGGGCCCAGGCCTTTGGGAGTGAGAGGGCTGAAGGAAGAAGGGAAGGGATAGGAGGGAGATCTTTGGTTCATGAGCTGGCTCTCCTGGGAGGCCACTATGGACCCGAGAGTCTTCCGAGCCTCATTCTTCAGGGCATAGCCTTACTCAGTAGCCCCAGTGTCCTCAGACTGTGGCAGGAGCCCCATGAGAGCCAGCAGGGGCCATAAACACCTGTCCCTGTTGCTATGGCGAGGGCTTGGAGCTGCCAGACAGGAGCCTGCACTGCCTGGGCCATGCAGTGAAGAGGATTGCTGCCCTGACCGAGTCCAGACTGAGGATCATGAGCCCGGCCAGCCTGAAAGGCAGGTACAAGGTGAGGCCAGAATTTTTTTTTTAAAGAATTATTTTAACTTTATTTATCATTATCATTATTATTTTCCACTTTGATCAGAGAGAGACAGAGAGAGAGAGGAAGTGAGAAAGCAAGCCACCAGGTCCGAGACTTGAACTGTGGTCGGCCATGTGGGAGTCCAGCGCCTTTAACCACCATGCCACTTGCTGGCACCGAATTTCTGACGGGACAACTACGGGCAGCCTGGGAACACCTGTCACAGCACTGACATACAAACCCTTAAAACCAGCTCTTGAGACTCAGTTGTGTAGAGAATACTCTTCTTTAGGGACACAAAAGCCCATGACTTCACATTGCCTTGAGCTGCATCTTGAAATGAGCTTCAGGTGAGTCTCGAAGCTTTCTTTCCTTTTTTTTTTTTTTTAATTATTCATTCATTTTTAAAAAAGACTTATTTTATTTAACTGTATTTATTTTATTTGCTTATTTATTTTAATTTGGCCGAGAGAGAGAGAGAGAAAGTGAGAAAGCAAGCCACCAGGTCCGGGGCTCGAACTGTGGTCGCCTATGTGGGAGTCCAGTGCCCTTAACCACCACGCCACCTGCCAGCCCCAATTCATTCATTTATTTTTAAAGTGTATTTATTCATTTATTTTAATACCGCAATCCCTTCTCCTCCATTCTCCTCCTGGGATCTTGGGCACGCACACACATGCATCCGGCATGTTTTTCAAGCAGGTCTGGGACTTGAACCGCAAAGTGGGCCATGTGCTGTCCAGCGCTTTAACCTCCATGCCACCTGCTGGCCCTAATCATTTATTTTAGTTTGACGAGAGAGAGAGAGAAAAGTGAAAAAGCAAGCCACCAGGTCTGGGACTCAAATCATAGTCAGCCATGTGGGAGTGTCTAGTGCCTTAAACACCACACCACCAGTTGGCCCCAAGTCTTGAAACTTTCTAAAAAAATTATTTTTTGCCATAGGTGCGTGTGCTCACCAAAGACAAAGAGAAGAGAGAGAGAAGAAGAGAAAGGGAGAAATCACCCCCCAGGAAGAATGGCCATGCTGAAATCCCTTCTCCACTCTCCTCTTGGGATTCTGGGCATGCACACACACACGTACCCAGTGTGTTTTTCAAGCCAGTGGGTCCAGATTTTTTTTTTTTAAATAATTATTTTATTTATTTATTTATTCATTCATTTATTTCTTAATTTGACCAGAGAGAGACAGAGGGTGAGAGTGAGAGAGAAAGGAAGTGAGAAAGCAAGCCACCGGATTCAGGACTCGAACCCTGCTCAGCCATGTGGGATTATCCAGCACCTTAACCACCACGCCACCTGCTGGTCCCAACGAGAAATCATCCCCCGGGGGGGATGGCCACGCTGCAATCCCTTCCCCTCCATTCTCCTCTCGGGATCTTGGGCACGCACACACATGTGCCCGGCGTGAGTTTTAAGCCACTGGGTGCGGGACTCGAACTGCAGTCGACTACGTGGGAGTCCAGCAACGTAGTCATTATGCTAACTGCTGGTCCCTGGGTCCAGATCTTAACTGTGCTGTTGGCCATGTAGGATTTAACCACCTTAACCACTACGCCACCAGCTGGTCCAAGTTTTCTAAAATTTAAAGAAGTCTTTCCAAAACCTTCCAGAACACACAGAATAAGATGAACTGCTCTTGGGAACCAGCAGGTGGCGTGGTGGTTAAGGTGCTGGACACTCCCACATGGCTGACCATGGTTTGAGTCCAGGACCTGGTGGCTTGCTTTCTTTCTCTCTCACTCTGTCTCTCTCTGGTCAAATTAAAATAAATGAATGGGGGAAGAGCAGGTGGCATGGTGGTTAAGGCACTGTACACTCCTACATGGCCAACCACAGTTCAAGTCCTGGACCTGGTGGCTTGCTTTCTGACTTTCTCTCTCTCTCCCTGTGTCTCTCTCAGGTCAAATTAAAAGTGAATAAATAAACTTAAATAATTCTTTAAAAAAATTAAATAAATGAATGAATAAGTTAAATAAATATTTTTTTATAATTATTTAATTTTATTTATTCATTCATTTTAATTTGACCA